TGGGACTCCACTCAGGTCCCTGGAGGAAGGGGACAAGGTTTCCTATGCTCCTCTTCTCTTGTGGAGACCCCTTGGACATTTTTTTCTGATTTTTTCTTCTGATTCTACCCTTGTCAGGCTGTAGTGTACTCAAGTGCCAAGGAATGGCCAGGGTCAGAACTATCACCATAGACTTCAACTTCTCAGTGACTCCAGGGCTCCCCAAGCTGGTCTGTCCAGGGGTCCATACTCCTGTTCCCTCTCCATGCAGAAGCTCAGCTCTGGGACAGAAGGCCACAGGCAGGCAGACTGGGTGGCCTGAACTGGCCCTCAGTGCCCTTGGCCCGACCGGCTGGCCTGAGCACTGACCCGCAGGCGGCTGGAGGGTGGTGGAGCAGGCGGGGTCTGGAGAGGGCTGCGGGTACACACCCATTGCCTAATACCCCAAGCACGCAGCCAGCTCCAGGAAAGGGGAGGGGCGGGAACCAGAGAGACCTTGACAGGGGTTGGGGCCATGACAGGAGGGGGAAAGTGAGGGGCTGTCATTACTCTGGGGAGGGAGTGGGAGCAAGCTGGTCCTCCTTCCCTTCGATGAGAAGACTGGAGGGCTGCCTTCCCATCATGAGGATGGAGGGTGGGTGTAGCAAGAACAATCTGGGAAGAACACTGGAGCCCTGGAGGGCGGGGGTCAAAGAGAAGAGTGGGGGCCCCCCGGGAGATTGGGGGATCGAGCAACCGAGGCGGTGGCTAATGCAGAGCAAAGCCTCAGGAACCTCCTCCTCCTCCCCCCCTCATGTTTGCCTTGGCCCGGGGTCCCGGGTGACTCATCTATTGCTGAGCCGCTGATAGGGGCGGCCAGGCCCGGGGAACCCAAATTATAGGCCCAGGAGGGATGGATGCGCCCTCAGCGGTGAGCTCAGCTGTGCTGCCCACCCTCTGCCTGTCACGCCTTCTGTTGTAGCACCACAGGCCACCGCCCGGAGGCACCAAAGGGTCCACAGTCCGACTGCATCGGACTCTCAGGGAAAACCCCAACATTTGAGCGGTTGGCCCCAACAAATCTGCGGGATTACCCTAAAAAGAACTTTGCCCCCTTCTCTACCAGAGGCTGATGCCTTCCCGGCCCAAGGAGGCAGTGCCGCCTGCTGGTGCTTCAAAGGAAGGTAGGCTCTTCTGTCCGTGAACTCTCAGCCCTAGTTCCCTGCTTCCTCCCCACACCCCAACATCAAAATAAAGCCCCTTTCCCCTCCAGTATCTCTCTCTCCCCTGTTCCTGCTCCAAGGAGGTGCTTAGCTACTGGTTTTCTACTTCAAGCCTTTAAAGTTATCCGTGGTCAAAAGTGATAGAAAAACAGAGCAAGGTAAAGGAGATAGGTGGTGGGATTCTGCTTTATATAGGGGGATGGGAAAGGAAGTGAGGGAACGAACCCACGGAGATATCGGAGGACGGGCATTCCAGAAGTCAGAAAAGCAGGTGCAAAGATCTGGAGACAGGAACTCATTTGGGATGTTCAAGGAATTAGCAACTAGGCCAGTGCCGCCAAAGGGAGGAACCCACATGAAGGAGCAAGATGGACCATATAGGGCTGTGGAGGCCACTGTAAAGATTTTGCCTTTTTCTTTGAGTGAGATTGGGGATCATTGGAAAATTCCCAGCAGAGGAATGAAATGATCTGACTTCTGTTTTGGAAAGAATGCCTCTGGCTGCTCTGTGGATAAGAGACTGGGGGGGGGGGGGGAGCAAGATGGAGTGGCCATTTACTGAGATGGGACCACTGAAGAAAGACCTGGTTAGGATGGGGAAGAATCAGGAGTTCAGTGTTTTCTGTTGTTTTTTTTTTTTTAATGTTTATCTATTTTCTAGAGAGAGACAGAGCATGAGCAGAGGAGGAGCAGAGAGAGGCGGAGACAGAATCTGAAGCAGGCTCCAAGCTCTGAGCTGTGAGCCGCAAGATCATGACCCGAGCTGAAGTCGGATGTTTAACCAACTGAGCCACCCAGGTGCCCCAGGAGTTCAGTTTTGAACATGTACATCTTGATATGCTTATTCAAGTGTTAGGTGTGCAAGTCCAGAGTTTAGGGTTAAGGGCCAGAGATATAAATTAGGGACCATGAGACTGAATAGATCACCAAGAGAATGAGTGTAGACCGGAAAGAAACTCCAAATTGAATTGGTGTATACTCTGAAGCTTAGAAATTGGGTATACAGGGTGCAACCAGATAGAAGACTGAGAAGATGAGCAGCTAGGGAGGTAGGAATGGTGTTCTAGAAACCAAGTGAGAAAGTATTCCAAGAAGGAGAAAGTGTTCAACTCTGTCTGCTGTTCCTTAAAAGTTGGTTAGGATGAGAGCCAACAGGTCATGGATGATTTTGATCAGGAGGTGTAGCAGATTCAAAGAGGTGATGGGAGGGGCGCCTGGGTGGCTCAGTCGGTTAAGCGTCCGACTTCAGCCAGGTCACGATCTCGCGGTCCGTGAGTTCGAGCCCCGCGTCGGGCTCTGGGGCTGATGGCTCAGAGCCTGGAGCCTGTTTCCGATTCTGTGTCTCCCTCTCTCTCTGCCCCTCCCCCGTTCATGCTCTGTCTCTCTGTGTCCCAAAAATAAATAAAAAACGTTGAAAAAAAAAAAAAAACAAAGAGGTGATCGGGGTGGAAAGAGGGAATAAAGAAAAGAAATTGGCGCTAGTGATTAAAGCAGCCCTTTTGAGCTTTTGCAGTAAAAGAGGGCTGAGAAATGGAGCAATCTCAGGAGGTAATGTGGCGTCGAATGAAGCTTTAGAGTTTTTAGAGGGGAGATATCACAGCATTTTGCCTGATGATGGGTATGATCCAGCATAGAGGTAAATTGAAGAAACAAGAAAGAAACAGGACAATTGATAGAGTAATGATTTGATCTAAATAGAAATTTGGGCCAAGTCAGTCATAGCATGACTCAGACTTAGAGCCCTTAGAGCCCACTTTTCTTCACTACTCCTGGTGGGTGGAATGGTAGAACAAAGGATACCGGCTCATCTTTTCTTTCTTCCCACCTCTGCTTGTCACCAGGAGCCACAGAAAGGGCTTCCTGTCTTCCAGTGCATCTCCAGCTTCCATGGGGTTTAATCAATCCACAGGCCAAAGCACATGGCCCAGGCCCCAGTGGGAATAAACTCTTAAGGGATGAAGGACAAGCTGCCCATGGTACTTTGTCTATTTACTTGAGCCTTCTGTGCTGGGTGCCCTCCGTAGAGACTACTGGATTTTGGATCTGGGGAGGATGCTGGGCCCAGAACATCTTGTCTCTCAGGGTCAAATCCTCGGGAGGGTCAGGTGCACTGGACTGGGCAATAGGCCTGGGAAGGATATTGCCCTCAAAAGTAACCTCCATCAGGGGGCACCTGGGTGGTTCAGTCAGTTAAGTGGCCGACTTCTCAGGTCATGATCTCTCAGTTCATGAGTTCGAGCCCCACATCGGGCTCTGTGCTGACAGCTCAGAGCCTGGACCCTGCTTCAGATTCTGTGTCTCCTTCTCTTTCTGCCCCTCCCCCCACTTGCATTATGCCCCTCCCTCTCTCAAAAATAAATAAACACTAGGGCTCCTGGGTGGCTCAGTCAGTTGGGCTTGGGCGTCTGACTTCAGCTCAGGTCATGATCTCACGGCTTGTGGGTTCAAGCCCCTTGTCGGGCTCTGTGCTGATAGCTTGGAGCCTGGACCCTGCTTTGGATTCTGTGTCTCCCTCTCTCTCTCTGCCCTTCCTCTGCTCATGCTCTGTCTCTCTCAAAAATAAATAAACATGAATTTTTTTAAAAAAATTAAAAAAAACACTAAAATAACAAATTAAAAAAAACCTCCATCAGGCTTCATCTTGGTTAATAAGCATCTCATTTAAAATGGAGGTGCCCTTTTGGGATGAGCACTGGGTGTTGTATGGAAACCAATTTGACAATAAATTTCATATATAAATAAAAATAAATAAATAAAGCTCATAGGGAAACCAATTGAAAAAAAAATAAATAAAATGGAGGTGCCTTTGGGGCACCTGGGTGGCTCAGTCGGTTAAGCATCCGACTTCGGCTCATGTCATGATTTCACAGTTTGTGAGTTCGAGCCCCTCATCAGGCTCTGTGCTGACAGCTCAGAGCCTGGAGCCTACTTCAGATTCTGTGTCTCCCCCTCTCTCTCCCCCTCCCCTGCTCACACTCTGTGTCTCTCTGTCTCTCAGTATAAATAAACGTTAAAAAAATTTTTTTAATGAAAAATAAAATGGAGGTGCCCCAAAAAGATTAATTAAACTTATCAGACATGGACTCCTTAGAGTGATTTCCCTGCCTTTAATGGGATACCTGATCATTTCTGAGACTTAGAACTCTTCAGGATCAGACCTGGGTACATACTCAGTTAGAAAGCACCCTAAAAGCAGGGGAGGTGAAAAAGAGAGGATTCAAAAGGGAGACAGAAAGATCCTAAAAATCATTTTTATTTATCTGTCAATTTTGAGATGGGGTCCATAGCTTATTGTATTGCTACACACTCACAAAAGCTGATTAGGTGGAAAGAGCATTGGCTTTGAGTCAAAAAGAGTTTTTTAAAGTTTATTTATTTTTGAGAGAGAGAGAGAGAGAGAGAACACAGGGGAGGGGCAGGGAGACAGGGAGAGAGAGAATCTCAAGCAGGTTCTGAGCTGTTCAGCACAGAGCCTGACTCAGGGCTCAAACTCACGAACTATGAGATCATGACCTGAGCTGAAATCAAGAAATCAGACAAGTAACCAACTGAGCCCCCCAGGCACCCCAGATCTGAGTTTTAATTTGGGTCTACCAACTTGTTCATTTTTTTTAAGATTCTAATTTTGAAGCTTACTATTTTATTTATTTATTTATTTATTTATTTATTTATTTATTTATTTATTTATTTTACGTTGCTTCCATGCCCAAAGTGGGGCATGAACTCAGGACCCTGAGATCAAGAGTCTCATGCTCTTCCCACTGAGCCAGACAGGTGCCCCTAAGATTTTGTTTTTAAGTAATCTCTACACCCACTGTAGGGCTCAAACTTACAACCCCAAGATCAAGAGTCACATGCACCAGCGACTCGGCCAGACACATGCCCCATTTATTCATTCATTAGCTGTGTAGACCTTGGACAACTTCTTAATCTATTTTTTTTTTCCCCTCTGTAAAGTGAGAGAGAAGAGAGATATAAGGGAGGAGGTCCTCCCTCCTTGCAGGGGCCATTTGTGTGTGGTGGTAGGGCATGATGACAAAGCTGGTGGTGCTCCCTATGCCCCAGTACAGGGGACAGCAGCCACTTCCTCTTCAATAGGAGGCCAAGGTAGCCTTGAAGCTGAATTGGAGTCCCTGGGAAAAAAGAGAAAAACCTACAATGGAGGAGATGCTTGCAAGCATTCGGGATATCTCAAATGTGGTGAGAGTGGAAAGAGCCAGAATTTTGCAAGAAGAGAGAAACTTGGCAGAAAAATCCAAAAAGAAGCAGACACGTGGAGGCACAAGTTCCCTATTCTGGGTTCAGCTCAGCCAGCAACTCTTCTCTTCCCAGCCCTCCCCACCCACACGCACACCTGACATCCACTCCACTGCCCTTCCTGAGCCTAATCCACAGAGACTCAGCTACTCCAGGCTTTGTCCATCTTGATGGCGCCTTGGTTGCAGCCTCAGTCCCCTCCCCCGGTGACATGCACATGTTGATACATGCTACAGAGTGACACACCATAGGGTGACACAAGGTATACACGGCGAGAGTGACACATATATGCATAGTTAATCTCCCCACGCACACACACTCATCCACCCATCCACCCACCTCCACAAACAGTCCCAGACACTCCATCCCTCAGTCAGTCTTTGGGTCTTTCCTGACAGTGGCCGCCACCTCCTTCCCGACAAATAGATGATGCACTGCCCCAGGTGGTGGCTGTGACAAGATGACTCGACTGATCCCTCCTGACGTGAGCTACATGCCAAGATTCTTTGGAAAGTTCCCTAACGTCCCTCCTCAAAACATGGAGTTTCTCTCCATGAGGACACACACGAGTGTGCACCCTCAGAACACACTCACACATTCTCATATGCATTCACCCTTGCATTGTCCCACTTAGACACACACACACACACACACACACACACACCCCATAGTCACTTGTGCACTCCTACCAGCCCACAAACACAAACTGCCGCGGTCCCCGGTTTTCTCTCTGGTGAACTTACCCCACAAACCCACCCTCAGGATTTCCCTGACCACGACCCCATTCCCAGTCTCCCCGTTATCCTTCCCTGTCCAGCCGTCGGGGGTTCCAAAGCAGGAGGCGTCTCCCCGGAGTCGCTGCCCAGAATCACAGCTTTCCTTCCTCTACTCAGGAGTGGGGAGAGAGAGGACGCCAGACGGGCCCAGGGTGACGTCGAGGGGACAGCCCCACAGCCGGTGGTGGCGAAGCGGCTGGGCTCCCGGCAGACTCTCCCCTTAGCACATTGTCGCCGCGCCCCCTGGCGGACGCTGGTCCCCGACGGGCTCCGGACGCGAAGAGGAGTGAGGCGGGCGCGCGTGGGAGGGCGTCCCAAGGGGAGGGGTCGGCGGCCAGTGCAGGCCCGGAGGCGGGAGCCACCGGGCAGGGGGCGGGGGTGAGCCCCGACGGCCAGCCCGTCAGCTCTCGCCTCAGACGGGCGGGAGCCACGGCCCCGCTCGCTGCCCATTGTCTGCGCCCCTGACCGGTGCGCCCTGGTGCCACGGTGCGGCCCGGCGGGCAGCCTCCTATCGTCACTTCAGCCAGCGCCGCAACTATAAGAGGCGGTGCCGCCCGCCGTGGCTGCCTCAGCCCACCAGCTGGGACCGCGAGCCATGCTGCCCGCCGCCCGCCCCCAGGGCTGTTAGAGCCAGACTGCGAATTCTCGCCACCGCCGCCACCGCCGCGACCCGTCCCACCGTCGCGGGCAGCAGCCAAAGCCGCCCCAACTTCAGCACAGAGCAGGCGAGGCCGGGCAGGCCATGGGGCACTGGGCGCTGCTGCCCGGCTGGGTTTCTGCTACGCTGTGGCTGGCGCTGGCCGCTCTGCCCGCAGCCCTGGCCGCCAACAGCAGTGGCCGATGGTGGTAAGTGAGCTGGTGCGGGGTCGCCACTTGTCCCGGGGCGCAGAGCCAGGGGCCAGCCCCAGCCAGCTCCCACGCTCTGGGATCCCTCCGCAGACAGGCTCGCTCCACCGCACTGACTTCCCTCCGAGACACCGAGGGGCGCTCTGGAGCGGAGCTGCCCCAGAGAATCTAGTTCTGAGGAGGTGGGGTGAACGGTCCGCCCGCGGCGGCCCACGATACTCCCTCCAGGCAGGGAGCCCACTCCCATCTGGCACCGCCCTTCTCCCTTGAGCCCCAAACCCAGCCTCGCGGGGGTAGCCACACCACGGGTTTCCCTGCCTCGGAAGCGAAGGGCCAGGCCAGCGCTCAGAAAGGAGGCGAGAGGAGGGTGGGACTCCTGAGCATTTCACCCCTTGGGTGGGCATGGACTCCAGGCCAGGATTTCCTTGCCCAGGCTCCCGGGGAAGCAGTCTCTCAGAGTCAAGGTGGACATCTAGTCTTCAGGTTTCCCATGCCTCCCCTGTCCAGTCCCCAGGCCCAGGGTCCTGAGCGGCCCTGCACAACACTCTGGACGCCCATTCCTTTCAAACCAGTTAGCCAGGGAGCTCGGAGTCTTTACCTCATTATTGATCTCCTGCTGCTCTCTCAGGCAAATAGTCCCAGGAAGAGGGCAGGGTAGACACGATCTTTTTGCTTAGGGAGCAGGTCCCCTACCAGAGCCTGAGCTCCTACCACGCATCTCACCAGGGGCATCGTGAACGTAGCCTCCTCCACGAACCTGCTGACCGACTCCAAGAGTCTACAACTGGTGCTCGAGCCCAGTCTTCAGCTGCTGAGCCGCAAACAGAGGAGGCTGATCCGCCAGAACCCGGGGATCCTGCACAGCGTGAGCGGGGGGCTGCAGAGCGCTGTGCGAGAGTGCAAGTGGCAGTTCCGCAACCGCCGCTGGAACTGCCCCACGGCTACGGGGCCCCACCTCTTCGGCAAGATCGTCAACCGAGGTGGGTACCCAGGGAAGCGACACTTCCGGGACCAGGGGAACGCAGGGTCACCCGCAGGGCAGGGGCGGGCGAGTGCAGGGAAGATGTCCCAGGCGCCTGCAGGGTTCCAGGATCAACCCGCCAAGAGCTTCGCGCCCAGCGCCAGCTCTACCAGGCGTTTGCAAGCCGTGCACCTCCGGCGCGAAGCTTAACTTTTCTGCGCCACTGCCCCAGCAAAAGCGAGTTCTGAGTCGTGGACGCCGGCTCGCCACCGTTTCCCCGGCCCCTCTCAAAGGCGCCTGGGAAGCTGATCTCCGCGAGTGTGTCTTGCCTCCAGCCCAGCAAGGCTTGCATCGCCGACAGGGGCCGAAAGTTTGGGGCGCGGAGAGGTCTTGGCAAGTGCAGAGTTCTTCTCCTCCCCTCTTTTCAGTTTTTCCCTCTGGACCTGCCCCACTCCCACTGAGGAGCCAAATGCGCCCTGAGTCTCAGGAACGCGTGATTACAAGCGTGGACAGGGTTGCGTGCCCACGCACGTGCTTTCTCTAGGAGATCAGCTTCCCAACCCAGCCGGCCGCCGGCTCTCGGGACTCTAAGGGCGGAGTCAAGGGTCCCAAGCCCTCCACCGAGGAGGCTGGCAGAACCCCGCGTACCCCCTCGCTGATCGCCGCTCCCTTCCCTCACAGGCTGTCGGGAAACGGCGTTTATTTTCGCTATCACCTCCGCCGGGGTTACCCATTCGGTGGCGCGCTCCTGCTCAGAGGGCTCCATCGAGTCTTGCACGTGCGACTATCGGCGGCGCGGCCCTGGGGGTCCCGATTGGCACTGGGGGGGCTGCAGCGACAACATCGACTTCGGCCGCCTCTTCGGCAGGGAGTTTGTGGACTCCGGGGAGAAGGGGCGGGACCTGCGTTTCCTCATGAACCTTCACAACAACGAGGCTGGCCGCACGGTGAGCGGGCTTGAGGGGCTCCGCACGGAAGCGGAGTGGCGTGGCAGGGATCTCCGAGTCCCTGAGCAGGGGCTAACCTCGAACTTGGGGAGTGACGATCGGTGATGAGGCCAGGCGTCAGAGTAGGGAATCAGGAGAGGACGTCCCGAGGATGCAGGAGGTGTGGAAGGAAGGCAGAGAATGGAAGAGATAGTGGCTGAGGGCAGGTAGAACTGAAGACATTAGACGTCATGGAACCCGTGGAATGTATTGCCTGCAGCCCTCCGTTGTACAGATTCAAAAAACGAGGCTTGGAGGCCGAGACCACTATCCCGCGTGGAGCAGTTGGGCCTGGGGTTCAAATCTCGGCGCGAGGGCTAAGCCTGGGCCTTTGCTGAGGTCCTGGCAGGGTCCGGGAGGGGGCGGTATCTGGGACGGTGGTGGCTCTGGCCCTGACAGGGCCCCGGGACACCCTTTCTTCCTCCTTCCCCCCAGACTGTGTTCTCTGAGATGCGCCAGGAGTGCAAGTGCCACGGGATGTCGGGCTCGTGCACGGTGCGCACGTGCTGGATGCGGCTGCCCACGCTGCGCGCCGTGGGCGACGTGCTGCGCGACCGATTCGATGGCGCCTCGCGCGTCCTCTATGGCAACCGCGGCAGCAACCGCGCCTCGAGGGCGGAACTGCTGCGCCTGGAGCCCGAGGACCCGGCGCACAAGCCGCCCTCCCCCCACGACCTCGTCTACTTCGAGAAATCGCCCAATTTCTGCACGTACAGCGGACGCCTGGGAACGGCTGGCACGGCCGGGCGCGCCTGCAACAGCTCCTCGCCCGCGCTGGACGGCTGCGAGCTGCTCTGCTGTGGCCGGGGCCACCGTACGCGCACACAGCGCGTCACCGAGCGCTGCAACTGCACCTTCCACTGGTGCTGCCACGTCAGCTGCCGCAACTGCACGCACACGCGCGTACTGCACGAGTGTCTGTGAGATGCTTCGCGGACTCGCCCCAGGAGCGTTCCCCTCTAGCCCACCCGGATACGTGCCCACCCAGTCCCTCCAGCCACAACCCCCGCGATTCATACGTGCGCGATCATTTCTCCCACCTCCTCCTACCGGGGGACTCCTGAAACCACTTGCCTGGGCCGGCATGAACCCTCTTGCCATCCTGATGGACCTGCCCCGGACCTACCTCCCTCCCTCTCCCGGGAGACCCCTTGTTGCACTGCCCCCTGCTTGGCCAGGAGGTGAGAGAAGGATTGTTCCCTTCCCCGTGGGGGTCAGCTTCTGACCGTGTGGCTCTGCTTCCTCCACCGCGCCAGTGACACCCCCCCCCCCGCCTCTCTCCCTCCCCTTTATCCTCCGTTTTTTCTCCAGATCTTCTCACGCCCTTCCCATTCTCCTGCCAAGGGTGCAGACTCTGAACACACACCTGGACAGCAGGGCCTTTCTCCTCCCCACCTACAACGGAACCGGGAGGTTCTAGGGTGAAAGGGCAGCTGTGGTGATGTGGAAAAGGAGGTCGGGGGACCCAGCAGAAATACCCCCATTCTCCCAGCCTCTGTCATGGAGCCATTGAACAGCTGTGAGCCATGCCTCCCTCACCCACCTCCTACCCCTTCCTGTCCTGCCTCCTCATCAGTGTGTAAATAATTTGCACTGAATCGTGGATACAAAGCCACGAGTTTGGTTGTTGTAAATAAAACTATTTATTGTGCTGGGTTCCGGCCTGGCTTGCAGAGACCCCTTCCACCCCACCCCAGTCCCTCTCCCTTCTCCTCTCCTTCTGCTCTGCAGCCTCTTCTGATCCCTCTCTTCCTCTCCCCAATTTCTCAAAGATGCCGTTGCCTACCGGAATCAGCATTTCCTTCCATTGTAGCTATTAGTGGCTCCCCACCCCCACCGATGTAGTATCTTCCTCCGCAGAATAAAATTTCTATTTTTATCAGTGACTTGGTGGCTTCTCCTTGAACCCAGAACACACCACTGCTTGCCTCTCTTAAATAGGCTACATTGTTGGGGGACTGGTTTCCCCGCCCTGCAAGAAGACCCTGAGATTCTGACCCTTGCATGACCTTAATGAGGCCCCTGGGGATCTAGGTCCTCAGAAGAACCTGGCCAGGAGCCAGGACACCCTGCAAGATTCTTCTTCCTATTTGAACACCAACCGGCTGTGTGATACTGGGCAAGTCCATAACTGCCTCAGTTTCTTCCCTTGATGAACGGGGATTAAACAAACAAGCAAACAAACTCTCAGCCTGCCTTTCCTTTCTGGAATTGTGAAAATAGCTACACCTGAGTGAAGCCATGACCCTGTTCTGAAAAGAAACCAAAGAAGAAAAGAGAAAGCCAAGCAGAAACGGTGCTGCTGTAGAGCTTTCGGCCCCTGAAGCCTATTGGCTTCAGCTGTGGTCACGGCTTATTAGGACCTTATCACGTCCTTATTAGGACCCCAGCTCCCAACCTTGGGCTCAGGAGGATCCAGGTGACAGGTGATGGGTTCTAGCACTGGACCCAAAAGCTCAGAGACGACAGTGGGGGAGAAGAAGGGAGCTGGAGGGCTAGAATCCAGCTAGAGGCTAGGGCTTAAACCAATGTGACCAGAAGGAAACCCAAGTGTGGTCCATAACCACACCATTAAGTTAGTCATTCCCATAAAGAGCCTGAAAGAGCACTGTTACTAATAACGCTCATACCTCCTTGTGCACATTCACCAGAGTCCGCAGGAGTACTAATCCTGCCCACGCCCTGAACCTATCTCTAACCCTAATCCTCTGCCCGTCCCTAGATCTAGGTCTAACCTTAGCCTTAACCCTAACTTCAGACAACACTAACCCCTTCCTAAGCTCTAACGCTTGTCCCTAATCCTAAGACTTCCCCCCAGGGGAGGACCTAAAGGGCAGGGGGAGCTATGAAGCACCCCACCCCCCAAGGGCAACAACTGATCCCAGATGGCTGGAGAATTTCCCCCTCTCCCTAGGATTCTTTTGCTGTGGTAGCTGCCTCCCACCTCTCCCTGGATGTGTGAACTCTGACCCCTGTTGGCCTTTGGGGTATGTGTGGGGGTAGGGGAGTGGAGCCAGGAGCTGCTCAACCCTGCAAGGACATCCCTTTCCCTTTTTCTCCATCTGCCAAGCCAGCACCAGCTTAGCTCTCATGGGCAGCAGAGGGGGAGGAGTAGAAACCTTATTGATCCGGGGTAGAAGGCACCTCTCATAAGCCTTGGGTTTCCAGTAAAGAACCCCCTGCAGAGAATGTCCAGTCTATAATCCAATGAATTATTAGATGCCCCAGCTCCCAAAGCAAGAAGTGAATGGGATGCCAGAGGCAGGAGAGGGGGCTTGGGCCCCTACAGGACGATGCCCAGAGTTGGGGAGAGGCAGCGTTTGGGGAGCTGAAGGGTTGGCAGCTGTCCCCAAGCACTCTCACCTGATTCCTAACTCCAAGAGCTGGAATGGGTATCAGCTTTCAGGCCTAGAAGCTGGGGCCTCTGAGCTGAGCTGACACACAAGGGCTGAAGAAGGGTAAAGGGAAGCAATGAATCCTGTTCTGGCCCTAATTAGACTTTCAACAAATCTGTTGTTTTCTCAGCCTCAGTTACCTTGTCGATTGAACAGGGATGGTTGTCAGTGCTTAGACCTCTCCTTCAAGAAGGTGGTGAGGTTCAGATGAGGGTCATGTACGTGAAAACTCTGGTCACTTGAACACTTGCTGACGCCTCTTCTGTGCCAGGCGTGTGAGAAATGCTGGGGATACGGGGATGCGTGAGCCATCGTGCCTACCTGGAGAAGTTTATAGGGTGGCCAGGGAATCAAGCACATCGACTGGTATTGTCAGACGAAGAAGGGAGTGCAGTGAAGGCTCATCGAAGTGTAAAGCCCTCTGCACACCCATGAGGTTTGATGAAAGACTCCCAGAATCAGTCCTCTGCATGGGAGCCCTCGCTTCCAGGGGTGGGGACTTCAAAGTGGGTAAGGAAGTGCAGAATGAGGCTGGGCCCTCAAGGGGCCATGCACCAAGAAAAAAGGTGTGTGTGTTGGGGGGGGGCGGGGGGCAAGCAAAAGGGGTGTGGGATCTCTGCAAAGCATTACATAGAAGCAAATTCTTTTTCATGTTATGATCACCTGTGCCATTCTCACGAAGGGCTGTGCCTGGAAGGGTATCACCATAGGCAAGTGTTGTCAGGAATGGGCCTGATGCCCCAGCTCTGCCCTATCCACCCAGGCTACCCTTCCACCCACTTCTGATCTTCAGGTGCCAGGTGCCACACACCCAGGGGGATCTGAGGCTGCCAGGGACCCCGGACACATGGTTGGCCTCAGCGGGTGAGGGAGGCACTAGTCCTGAAATACCCTGGGGGTGGGGAGGGGAGCGGAAAAGCTGAGAGGAGTGAGACGGCAGGCCTGCGCAGTCCCCAGGGGGTCAGCAAGCCGGCACCACACACACCCTGCCACACGCACCCTGGAAAAACCCTGTCAGTGGGGCTGCAAATACCCCAGGGTCTAGCACCCCCCCCCTCCCCACCTCAGGCTGGCTCAGTCCTCCTCTCCAGGCTAGAGGGAGAAAAATAACAAAATGAGGAGAAAATAAGCTGTTTGGCTGTGGTGTGAGCAGGAATATCCATACAGAGCTGCCCACCACTCACCCTTACTCACTCTTTCCACACCCAGCCGGGGCGCCCAGCATGAGACAGACCACCCCCCTGCCCCCTCCCCCGTCTGGGCTAAAAGCAGACGCTGGTGAGCGAGCAGCAGGTTATAAATATGCCCAGGGAACTGCCGCCAACTCGCTCCCTTGTCATTCCCTGGGAGGGGATAGGGTGGGGTGGCTCCTAGGGAGGAGCCAGGGCTGTTCCTGGGGCCCAGGAGGAAGTGGGGCTTCCAAGAGGCTACTGCACTTTTTTTTTTTTTTGCCCTTTTCAAAGGGAAGGAACCCCCACCACTTCATTTTTCCTGGGCATTTGCTCATCTGCTCAGAGGTGGGGTTCCATCCTTCCCGGGCCACACTGAGGACCTCAGAAGGAAAGGGCCCAAGGCCACCCTGTGTCACGGTGCAGCCCAGCATCACTCCTCTTTCTCACACTCACTTACCCTCAGCAAAACCAGAGTTCATTCATTCATTCAACAGGCATTGACTGACGGCCTGCTGAGCACCAGGCCTGGGCATCAAAATACCTGCGAGCACAAGTGTCTGCACGTGTATGTGCACGCACGCACGCACAGTGGCCCGGCTCCCGTGTGTTCACACCAGCACCGGTCCCTCTACGGACTTCTTGGCTTTAACCCGGCAGCCTCATCAGAAAGGGTAAAGCTTCAGGCTCCTTCCTGATTCTGCCTCAGAGTAGGTTGGTGGAGGTGGAGGGTGTTGAGAGCAGAGCCCCTAAACATTCCTGCTTCCATTACTCCCCAGATAAATGAAGGGTCCTTTTTCTCCTCCTGCTCAATCATCTCCCAATGCAGGCGCCATGCCGGGAGAAAGAGCCACTTTGTGGGATGCTGGGGGCCACCTGCCCAGGCTGCCAGAGCCTCCTGCCTCCCAGTCACTTGCCAAGTAGGTGCCAAGCTGGGCAAAAGGGGGCAGTGCCACCCTGGGAAGCTTCCAGTTCTCCTCCCCCAGGGCCGAACCCCTCCCCTCTCCCTCCTCCCTATTAATCCTCGGAAGTGAAGGGGCCGTCCCTGGCGGCCCCTCGGCCCTATTGTGGCCCCTCGCCCTCCTCGGCTGGCGTCTAATTAACTCCTCCTGCCCCCGGTTTTGTGTGCCCCCCTTACCCCACCTTGTCGGCCCCGCCCCTCCGCTCGGCCTGCTCCCCCCCACGGACATTCCAGCCCGGCTGGGCTGGTGTGCCAGGGCAACCAGGGCCGGACCAAGGCCTAATCCTCCCGCCGCCTGGCCCGGCTGGGGGAGCCCCACTCACCTCCCCGCTCTCTGGGGGCTGCCCGGCTCTGCTGCGGCGGAGACACACAATCAGGACAAAGGCGCAGCCCCCAGGGGGCTAACTCAGCCTTCACGCCCAGGTTGTGCGGCATTTGGGGAGTTTAATGAATTGTCCATCACGCCTTTCAGGGCCCGCCCGTCAGCCTGGATTAATCTTCGGAGCCCTGGTGGGGTAGGAGACACTAAGCCTGTATTTATTACTCTCCCATTGTCACTAATTGAGGTAATTATCTGTGACTCTGGCCTGGCCAACAATGCGGCATTCACTCCCGGGACCTCGATGGGCCTGGCTCCCACTCTCAGCACCAACCCTCCCTCCTCTCTTCTCCCAAACCCGCCAAGGGCTAAGTTGGGCCCTGGAGCATGTTGGGAAAGTGGACAATGTCCCACAATGCTTCACCTCTCAACCAGTGTCTCCCACAGCCACCACCATGGAGTCACAGCTAGGGAGAGGCCTGCCCCCCCCCACCCCGATGAGAAAAAGAAGGCAGCCTGTCTAGGGACAGTTTTGGCTGGCAGAGCCCCCAGGCCACAGAGGGGCATGTTTCTGAGCTCTTTGGTTTTCTGGACACTCCAGCTCCTTACCTCTGGGCTGGTGACACCAGGATCTCATAGGGTCCTTCTGTGGATCCACATGAGTGGTCATGTTCCTATAACCTCCAGAGGTCTAGAATATTAGGAGGCCCTAATCCATAGCAGACGTACTCTCAGGAGGTCCCTAGAGCTGCTAGAGCTGACAGTGTGGCTGTGGATGTGATGGGGGAGGTTGGGAGAAAGACTAGGAAAGGGCTGGTCAGGGAGCTCCGAGAGGGCAAGAGGAGTCATCCAAGCAGGCAGCATCTAAGGGTCACACTCATGTGGCCATGCAGCAACCATAGGGAGAAACTTGTATTTGGAGGGATGAACAGTGCCAAAGAGTAGACTTCTCATGGAGATGGCTTCCCAGGTCAAGGGGTTTGGCTCGGCGAGTGTGTGTGTGTGTGTGTGTGTGTGTGTGTGTGTGTGTGTGTGTAAATGA